GTAGTAAGATACGATAAGAGAGGTACGTACATACCGATACGGAACGATTAAAGTTGATTTCTGTTTAAGTTATTCTGCTGAAAATTATCGACACGGCAAACAAATATTTGTGCAGTCTCCTGATGCCATTGTTGTTTTGATTTGACGTTCGTCAGAGTGTTTACTTCTCTGGAAATTTAATCACAAACTTTATTCAAGTCATAACAAAAGCTGTGAAACGGAAAAACTGTTGCGAAAAATACAGTTTTCAAAACGTAATAATTTAAATATATTTTTGTTAATAAATGGGGTTTTCCTAAAAAGTAAATCTCCTGCAATTTAAAGTCCTGATTCACCACATCTTTGGCAGCGAGGAAAAAGATTATGAGAAAACCTGTGATAAAGAACATAAAAACTCGTCAATTAACATTTTTTTATAGGATAGGGTGACAAACGAGCACACAGTCCACCTGATGGAAAGTGGTTGCTGTAGTCCATAGACATCTACATCTATCTTCGTTTGCGAATCAAAATGCAGATGCGTTGTCACCCGTGAGAACTAAGATGGAATGCCTCTTTTCCAGTAAAAAGGGTCTCCGGTTCTCTACACTCACCATACGAAACACAGCAGTGTTAAACTGCTATTTAACGCTGGTATTCTGTGAGAGCGTGGTCCTTCCCCGATCGAGCTGACCCATTCGTGCTACAACTATACTACTAATATAGCTTCAGCATGGCTCTACCACGTATAAACATGGCAAAAATGCGAATCTTCTTGTGCAATTTTTACTAGTTAAATACCTCTCCACAAGAGAAAAGTAATTTGGGGTTTTAAGCTGGTAAGAGATTTTCGAACTTAAACCCATATTAAACAATTTTTTTTTTGTGTAACATGGTCTACACTCAAATTTTGAAAGTGTGAAGTTTGACTGCTCGAGATTGGCTCTGAATAGCGGTTTTAGTGTGGAAGGTAACGTTTTATAAGACAAAAAAATATGATAATTTATTGCATACCTTAAGCGAAAGCGCAAGGTATGTTCTACTATCGCCTAAAAATTAAGATTCCAACGTTTTATCGAATAAAATCGTATCTAGCAATCATATTATACATATAAATTATATAAAAAGCACATTTTTAGAAAGATAAATGATTGTTGAACTTATTAATATATTTTTTTAAATCGATTAATTGCTATTTTTAAATAAAAAAGGGGTTTTAGTGGCTTATGGTGTGGATTTATCATGCCCCCAATGGCTTGTAAACACAATAACTTTTGAAAATATCAATTGTTTAACTCAATCTATTTTTTAATCTCTTCATCTATCATGTGAGAAGTCACTGAATGTTAATGACAGTGTAATTTTGTTTTGTTTAGCTATAATGAATATTTTTCGGCTCCAAATTGGCGAAGTTTTCGTTGATTGGGTAGCCTTGTATGTAAATTATTTCTGTAAATGGGGAGCTACAGCCACAGAGTAGTTTACTCACACTCAGTTTGGCATCAATCGCCGTCGTGAGTGGACTTTGTTTCGGTTGTTTGCAGCAGCTTAAAAAAGATCGCTGTATAAATACACAATATTCGAATAACCAAATTTCTTAAATACTTGATTATAATAATAATAAGAGATTTTTTTATTACAATATTTTAAAAGCACAGAATAAATAACAGTAGTACGTACTAAGAGTAAGTAGTATAATTTTTTTGTCATGGGTGACATTTTCATGGTTTTCGAGGGTGTTGAAACCGATAGAGTTGTCGAAATGTAAATCCAAGATGGCGGCCGCAATAGGTATCAATTTTTTCATCATGGGTGTCATTTTTATGGTTTTCGAGGGTGCTGAAGCCGATAGTGCTGTCGAAATGTAAATACAAGATGGCGGCTGCAATAGGTATCAATTTTTTCATCATGGGTGTCATTTTCATGGGTTTCGAGGGTGCTGAAGCCGATAGTGCTGTCGAAATGTAAATCATTTCAGTCACGGCGGCCAGCCTCAACGGAGACTAGCCATCGGCACAGGACAGGATATATATAGTGCCCAAGTGTATGCGCAAGCACAGGCGCACTCTCTATTCCATCACTCTCATAGTCTGATGGGACGGTCAACCGACACAACTTAAAAAAGATCAGGCGCAGTATCAACAACTTTAAGTGCTTTCCGAGGCACGGGGGTGAGACACCGCCAGCTTCCTGACTCCGGGCATCTACTGAGAGTTTCTTGATGGAAAAACTCAATAACTGATTTTTTTGGCCCGACATGGGATTCGAACCCGGGACCTCGTGATCAGCAGTCGCACTACTATAACCACAAGACCAACGAGGCAGTCAGAACTTAATTCATAATGTAAAAAAAAAACTAATATTCATAATGTAAAACAACTATTATCCCAGTATTACAAATAAAATACATAAAACTATGATGATGCGCGATGAACGTATGCTAGACCATCTTCATTATTGCATCGTTTTTTCTTCTTCTTGTTTACCAGACGATTACTGGCTGATTATTATAATATATACATTTATAAAAGCTGTATAAATTTATAAATGGAAATGATAAATATAAATTTATTAATATAATGAAATAAATACATACAGAATACGTAAATACATAAAAAGCCAACCAGATGGAAGCCCTTATTTAATAATAAGGGCGTAGCCCATAATAACCTCATTATTATTATTAATAATACATAAATGCACTAGCAGCTAAAAGCTGATGCGTGTGCATCTAATGTTTGGAGATTTTATCCAATCTGTTCTTGGAGGCGTTCAATGTAGTATCACCAAACACATTTTGCGATAGGTTATTCCAATTGGTTATAACACGGTGATTTGTAATAAAATTCTTCATGAGATTGCGCTTGACAGCACTATGGCAGAGATTAAGTTGATTTCCTAATGATGATAATGAAGAAGGTTAGGGAGCCATTATAGCATAGGGAATGGGTGCTTATGGCGTCACTAAAATAATTGATAGTAATGGTAAGAAGGTTTTAAGAAGTATTTGTACGTGGTAGAGCCATGCTGCAGCTATATTAGTAGTATAGATGTAGCACGAAAGGGTCGGCTCGGCGGGGGAAGGACCACGCTCTCACAGAATACCAGCGTAAAATGGCAGCTTGACACTGCTGTGTTTCGTATGGCGAGTGTAGAGAACCGGAGACCCTTTTTACTGGAAAAGAGGCATTCCATCGTAGTCCACACGGGTGACGTCGCATCCGCATTTTGATTCTTTATTGAGGATAAATGTAGATGTCTATGGGTCACAGTAACCACTTACCATCAGGTGGACTGTGTGCTGATTTGTCACCCAATCCTATAAAAAAGTGCTGATTGACTGGTCGTGAGGAAACCTGTATATTTCAGTCTAAAATATTTCTAGGACTTATAAAGTGCGCCAACACGCACTGAGGACGCGGTCGATTCTAGCTTGACCTACAAAATGACAGACTTAACGCATGAATGACATAACATAATGGAACACTTGTGGTCATTATATTTGTTTTAGAATCCAAGGCTGTAATGAATTGTAATCGTTAAAATAATTGGTATAGTGTGTTAATGTAGGTGACGACGTAAATGATTCTCATTAAAACTAGTATGAAAAAACGCCGATGGATAAATAGCATTTGTGGGGGTAAAATATCGCGTTACGTCACGTCAGGTTATGTTATAAGCCTTGTCCCCATATCGGAAGTTTCTTCGAATATCGAATGAAAAAGATAAAAGAAAGCGGAGATCGAGCCAAAAATTGAAAAAAAGCCTTGATTTTCTAACTTAAGATATTTAAAAAAGAATTAAAACACTTTGGTTCAGCTCTTTTTATTGTTTACATTACTATACTGCATATTGAATTGATTTTAAACCTTTTTTATATTTTTTAAAAATGATTACGGCTAGAAATTTCTACCGCTATTACAATGCTATTTTTATTTTATTTATTTTTATTATATAGACTAAGGGTGACAAACGAGCATACAGTCCACTTAATGTTAAGAAGATGCTGTGGCCCATAGACACTAACACTTATCCTCGATTAAGAATCAAAATGCAGATGCGTTGTCACCCCTGAGTACTAAGATGGAATACCTCGTTTCCAGTAAAACGGGTCTTCGGGTCCGGTGAATAGAGTCTCCGGTTTTTACACTCACAATACGAAACACAGTAGCATTAAGCGGTTTCCTCTGTTATATCTATAATATCGAAATAATTGCATTATATTCAGCTTAGGAGGTTATTTGCAAGCCATTAAGACATAAATAACCATTTTTACAATTTTTATCTGTCTGTCTGTTAGCCTGTCTGTTTCTCTATCTAACCAGGCTAATCTTTGGAATGACTGATCGATTGTAATGAAAATTTACGAATTAATAGATAGCAATACCCGAAGTGATCTAGGCTACATTTTATCCGAAAAACTTGGAGATTTAAAAAAATGATAAAATTCATTGATTTTCTTAAATCTAAATAATGCCATATTAATAAATCCTACCCAGGCGAAGCCAGGGCGGGTTGCTAGTTTACCATTGTGGTATCGCCACTGGACGTCCCGGCCGTCCTATATTTATTTTTATTCAAAGTGATCAAACATCTTTGTGTATCTATGTTCTGTGTCTGTACAGTTAATCGTTGTATTAGATGAAAAGCTTAAGAAGATTTTTCGTAAAGTGGAAAGAACTAACAAAAAATACCAAAAACCTTGGTTTATTACCGGGCATTTACGTGAGCAATTATATAGCTGAAACCTTGACTCACTTAAGTTTTATCAAATAATTTGAAGATTTTGAATTAACCTGAAATACGGCTCATGAATTTTTATTAGTATAATAGTAGATCCTTGTAATTTGTCATTGTTTGTTTGACGTTTAGCCAATTATAAGTTTCTCTCGTCGTTTACCCGGCCTTGTCTCTACTCTACTATTAAACTAAACTGCGAAGGAAATTTCGTTATTACGGTAATCAATACTTCGTGTTTTTTTCTTTAGAAGTTAATATCTTGATTTATATTTTGTTTGCAGGATGAAGATGTGAAAAAACAATTGCCGGTTGTACCGAAGTGTTGTCCCAGTGGCCAGAATCTAACAATTACCTACAAGAATGGTGTTGCGAAAACAGTGTGCTCTCGGTCGGGCCTCACATTCCAGCCGATTTTTCACAAAGCAAACGAAACGCACATATGGAGCTACGACAGCAACGTATTCGAAACTATCGTTGGCAATCCATGCCTATATGAAAGGTTTGTGATAACACAATATGTAACTTATTCATAAAACATTGATGAATATGTGTTGAACAACATGTTTCGGTTAAAAATATTCATCAAGGTTCCCTTCTTCTTCGTTTTCCTTATCCATTCCATTATCAGTCCAAGTTAGAGTACTGTTGTACATGGAACTCATCCACTGTTCAGGTTTCCAAGTTCCAAGGTACGAAGGCGATCACACACAATGAAACTCACAACTGTTTTAATTATGATAATTTAATTCACAACATCTCTACAAAAAGTCAAAAACATATATATATATATATATATATATATATAGTTTTCTCGGTAACGAAACCCTAGTGCGATCTATTTTGATCCCATCGCCATCTATGGAAGCGGCAAGTAAAGTTTGCACATACAAAATATTAAACACCCACAGTAATACAATACAACACAACAGTATAATATTACAGGCTTAGATAACTGATATAAAAACGTGATGATTATACAGTTATTCAGCAGAGATCTAGGCCATCTCGGTCTTTCTCTAAGTAGTGGACTTAAGCTCCACATGGCTAATGGCATATTGCTAAATAAATAATGTAAAAGTAATTAGATTATCTTTATCTGATTGATTGCTTTCTAATATGTACAAACTCTGCATTAGCAAGTCTAAATTCAGGTTGATGTTAAAGAGAACGTCACTTTTACGCATGTAATACCCAAAACACCATTAAAAAAATTACTACCTCAAGTTGTTGAAAAGGGCTTTAGAAAAATTGTCTTCATTTTCTTAAGTAACGACAAGTAGCGATCTTCCGTCACCCGTAACTTCAAATCATCCCTTATTTATTTTTAACAACATGCACAGGGAGGAAAGCAGCTGTTGTCGTTTCTTTTCTTGTATAATAAAAAGAAATATTATAATAGAAGCGTTACTTTGTTTGGACTTGCTTTTGTAACAATAGCAACAATGGATTTAGAGTGAACTTTTGTTAAAAGGAAATACTTAAAATATTATAAATATTTATGTTCAATCGGTTGATTTTAAAAATAAGACCCTTTTTACTAGAAACGAGGCATTCCATCTTAGTCCTCACGGGTGGCAACGCATCTGCATTTTGATTCGCAAACGAGGATAAATGTAGATGTCTATGGTCCACAGCAGCCACTTACCATCAGGTGGATTGTGTCCTCGTTTGTCACCCTATACTATAAAAAAAAACAATTTTATATTTAGAATTATGTGTTACTTTGCGGTATAATTAAGACGTTAAAATGAATTAGCTAAGATTTGCTTCTTAAAAATAAAAATGCGTTGTGATAGTTTGAAGAGCTTTCACCTTTTCCCTCATATGCATGCACTGGCGTGCACCATCAACGTCGCTATTAATCCCAACACCTACTACTAAACTAGGAAATTAGTGTTGGCGGTGATAGTGCACGCAATTGAAGGAAGGAGCATCTGCCATAAAGGGAGATTTTTATTTTTTACTCAGCTAATTAATTTTAATATCTTTAATAAGATCAATTAATTATGTATTTCTAACCATTATCTTCCCTTAGACAAATAAAATTTCTTTATCCATATTGTACTTTATTTTTAGATTCAAAAAGTGCATATGTTACGACTAATATTAGTGTAAATAATAAACTTACTGTTGGCCGGCTAAACTAAGGTTTAATTTTGAGCGTAGGCTAATGGTATCTGTTGTCATGCTAAGTTTATATTATACAAAAATGTTCACGGATATGAGGTGGTTCATGGGCTACCCCAGCCGCATCTTAACCTACTGGAGACCGGTGACACCTAGTTTTAGCTATAATTGAATCGAATACACCTAAGTTTAACCAAGTAGTGTGTAGTTTTAGTTTTTGTAAATCTGCGTACCACCGGTCTCCAATAGGTTAAATTGCAGCTGGGCTGGCCCTTGTGCTACCCCAAAGCCAATACCCAAATTTTTATTACAAATTAGGAATCGTTTTAGGAAGTTTCATCAGAACAAACTCATGTCTTCCAATAAATTTGGGTATACCATCTCGTCTGTGTTAGATCTAAGGATACTCAAAGCGACGCGAAGCAGCGTCAAAAATGTGAGACGTTATTGGGACGTCAGTTCGCCTAAGCGTAACAATACAGAAGTTGCATGTTTCTTTTGCCACAAATGTATATATAAATGAAAGAATAATTTATTTAAAGTATCTTTATTTACTTAACAATTTCATTTTTTTTAGTAATTATTAAAAAAAAATACAAATAGTAAAATTTTTGAATGAAAAAACATCCTGCTTGTGATTGGTTGTGACGTCATTATCCGTTAAGGCTGTGATTTGTATGAGCACCATGCGGTGACGTTACTAAAGCGATATAATGTCGTCACTGGCGTTTGAATTTGCAAATACCAATTTTAATTGTAAAATTACATGAAATATCAATTCTTTATTTTTTTAATTTTTCTTAATAATTTTTAGTAATCTTACAAAAAACATGCAACTTTTCTATAAAGGCAAATTCTTCCTACAATGTGAGAGGTTCATGTTCAGCAGTGGACTATTTTGGGACGATAAAGAAGAAGAGAAAATATGTTTTTAAATAATGATATGCTCTTAAATACCTCTTAAAGTATTTTATTACTTTTTAGATATAAATTAGATCCCGAGAAAATAAGCGAAGACGAATTCTACTTATTGGTCAACGGTTCGCTCTTTGTGCCGTTCAGTGAACCGCATTTACTTGGAACAAGAGATTATTGTATGGAGACGTTTTGGAACCAAACGAACCCAGCGGGTATAACTCTTCCATTAGTTTGCTTTCGAACCCCTGTAGAGGAAGCGAAGACATCAGTTACACTGATAATTTATGCTACAGGTAATTTATTATTATGTAACTTCCCCATATAATGTAGATGTGAATCCAACAACTTCTCTCCCAATAGAATGCGGAAAGAGTCTAAGAGACTATAAGTTAGGGTTTTGAATAGCTTTTGCAGTTCCGAGTATGTGTTTTAGTTAGCTTATTTCCACAACTTTATCGATTTTCTTTGTTTTCACAGACTTTCCCTGTAAGAAAACAACTTTTAGGAAACAAAGTAAACTGAATACATTATGGAATAATATTTCGTTCTCCATTTCGCGTTTAGAATCAAAAAGATTCCAAGTTATTCTATCTTTCATTTGTTTACATCTAGCGTATTATTTTTTTTCAGGATTAATAATTTCGGTACCATTCCTCTTAGCGACCGCGTGCGTTTACACGTTTATAACAGAGTTAAGGGATACGCACGGTAAAGCACTGGCTTGCCATTCTATTTGTTTGGCTGTAGCATTCTCGTGCTTGGCCGCTACACAGCTGGCTGGACACGCTTTTCCTTCAACTGTTTGTAATATTATGGGTATGTTAATAAATTGACTGTAGTTAATTAAAAAAAAATACTTTGATATTAATTTCTAATGTTTCTTTCAGCATATTCCATTCAACTGTCATTTGTGTCGTGTTTCTTTTGGTTGAACGTAATGTGTTTCGATACTTTTTTGAACGTGAGGTAAGAATAAATATTACGATCAATTAATTACTAAAAATAGTTTTTTAATAGAAATTTTGATTATTATAGATTATAAATAATACTTTTAGCAAGTTTATGTCACGTTCTTTTTATTACAGGCGATACATCAATGCATCAGTTAGTAGAAGGAGTATGAGGCGAAGGTTTGCGTGGTATTCTGCGTACGCGATACTCTTACCAGTCTTACTATTAGTAGTTACACTTACTATGGATTTATCTCCTGCAGTGCCTAGCACTTACCTTAAGCCAAACTTTGGCGTAAAAGGCTGCTGGTTTAAAAGTAAGTCTTTCATTTACTCACTATATAGTATTACCAGAAATTAAATTTTTATAGATTGTAGTGTTAATAAAACATTTATAACTATTTATTTAATTAAATGTTTTTGTTTTTGCAGCTGATCAAGCGGCTTTGCCATATTTTTACGGGCCTGTGGCAGTTATCCTTCTTAGTAACCTCGTGATATTTTTCTTTACTTCACGCGCCTTTGCAGTACATTATGATAAGCTCAAAGACGTAACACGTAAGTTATTTTCTTTTTGTACCTGTTTCAATGTCGAATAATTTTCCTAGATATGTTTTGTAATTAATTAATAACATTACGTCATAAAATCCATTAGTACAATAATGGACTTTAAATTTAGAAATATTTAAAATGCGATGTATTAAGGACCATAAAATTCGTTGCATGATGCCAGGAATGGAAGTTTATAATTGAGAATTATTTGATGCTATTTTGTTTTGGAAAAATAAGGGATAAAATAAATATGTGACAGTTTGCTAATACGATATTATAAATACAAAAAATACAATTTCACCCGTAGAGTGATTGCGTTGGTTATCAAAATTATTCTATTTTTTTGTGTGAAGATGAATTAAAAGTAAGATTTATTATGAGATGGTAATATCATAACCATTCTATGTGTGAACGTTATACTTGTTTGTAAAATAAACATCAAATATCCAATCAATCACATTATTAAAGCAATAAGTTCGGGATTATTTCTATTCTGGAAATGGAACAAAATATGTCTGTCATCTGCGTCATAGTTGTTTTTATCCTTTTATCAATATATTTCCAGACGTTAGAATATTTGTCCTATGTATTATATGAAGACATTAAAAAAATATGTTAGGAATATTTAATATATTTTATCTTTTTATTTACTTTATAAATATTATGTCTATTAGCAACATATTAAAATTTTTCATTGTCTTGTTTTTCTGTAATCGCTTTTGTATTTTATTATTGCGTAATGTTTACTGACAGAGAATGCTTTTAGCATCAAGCATTATCTGAGCTGCAATGTTTTGTAGAATAGGCTTTTAACGATCTATTGCTGTCGCACTGTGCCCGAACGAACTAACTAGAAAACCGAGAGAGACAACTGGCGATCAGACTGATTATAAGTATGAAAAATGAGGAAAACATCGCCGTATTGTCCTGTTTTCTCCGAAAAAAATTGGACCGATTTTAATTTTTTGTGAAGATTTGTTGTTTAATAATGGCAGGTTTCTTGTTTTAAAAATTAATAATTTATGAAAAAAAAACACAAAACAGGAACAGGACAGTGATAGATCTATATAGATTATACAGTAAAAAATATTTGATCATGTGTCATTATCAAAGAAGAAAACAGAGAAATAAAAGCCGCCTAGATATACTGTCTTTTATTACTATAAATTACCTAAAAACAAATAAATAAATACCGTGTAATGGCGGGTAAGAATACCCAATATCCCATATCTGCCCGTGGGTGTCGTAAGAGGCGACAGAGGGAAATTGAAACAGAAGATGGCCAGCAGCAACTTTTTGATAACAGCGAATTACAATAAAAAAAAGCGGTTGCCAACCCACTCGCCAAGCGTGGCAACTATGGCAATATACCACCCATGAAGAGAGTTACAAAAACCGGTGGTCTCGCTACTGTTCTGACTACTGTGGTGACCATGGTAACGGTGGGGCAGGGGGTGACGTGGTCCGTCACTGCTGGCCGTATGAGGAAGCTCAAGGTCGCTCAGCGAGCTAGGGAGAGGGCTATGCTTGGGGTTTCTGTGCGTGATAGACTTAAATATGGGGATATCCACAGTAGAACCAGAGTAACCGACATAGCCCAACAAATTAGTAAGATGAAGTGGCAATAGGCCGGCCTTATAGCTCGAATAATAGAAAACCGATGGGGAAGAAGGTTCTCGAGTGGCAGCCTCGTACCGGCGGGCGAAGTGTAGGGCGTCCCCCCACTAGATGGAGTGACGACCTGGTAAGACGTGCAGGAATTAAATGGATGCAGGTATCTTGGGACCGTGCTTTGTGGCATTCCTTGGGGGTGGTCTTTGCTCAGCAGTGGACTTGTGATGGGCTGTAATGATGATGATGAAAGATGAAATAAATAAATAATAATTCATAAACTTTATCGATTCATTAGGATTAAAGTTTAATGTTCCATATCCCGTGGGTGTCGTATGAAGTGACAGAGGGAAACTGATTCAGGGGTTAGGGATCATCCCGGAAACAAATGAAATGAATGCGGTTGCAAACTTGCCTGCCTACCGTGCAGCTATAGAAATATTCCCTATGAGTATAACCTGTAGGGAGGTCTATGTTCAACTATGGTCTTTTTTTTTATAGGTGAGGGGGCAAACGAGCATGCGGCTCACCTGATTGTAAGTGACTACCGCCGCCCATGAACAACTGCAACACCAGGGAGGGAATTGCAGATGCGTTGCCGGCCTTTTAAAAAGGAGTACGCTCTTTTCTTGAAGGTCCCTAAGTCGTATCGGTCCGGAAAAATCGCTGAAGGTAATCGATTCCACAAGGAAGTCGTGCGAGGAAGAAAACATCTTCTAAATCGCACAGTGGTGGACCGCCAATCATCCAGATGGTGTGGATGGCATCGGGAGTTCTGCCGCGATGTGCGTTCGTGAAATTTGGCGGCTGGGATTAATCCGAACAATTCCTCAGAGCACTCCCCATGGTAGATGCGAAAGAAAATGCAAAGGGATGCAACATCTCTTCGCAGTGCCAATGAATCGAGCCGATCGGAAAGGGTTCGGTCGTCGACTCTTCTGATAACTGTTAAAATGAATTGATGAATTAAAGAAGATTATTGTCTACCGTACCAATATCAGTCATTTATTTTTGTCTTACTCTTACACAACATATATGTTCATAGCTTATAATCTGATTTAATTTGGATTTGATAAAATCTTATACTACATTTCTTTCACTGTAGCATTAGATATGGCGCACTCAGACAATAGCACGTCAGATGACTGGGTGCGACTCAGCACGGTGTTGGGGCAGCCAGTACTTCCGCAGGAACGCGCCGCCTCGCCGCCGAGGGAAATTGTTGCTAATTTTAACCAAAGGCTCAAAAAATATAAAAAAATGTAAGATCATATTAACAATTTCTTTACATTTTAAACATTCTTGAAAATGAACGAAAAACCCGTGGTATAATATTTTTTCTACCTTTTTAATATTTTAAATGATTACTAAATTTATTTTTTGTATATTTTTTTAAAGTTTCCGAACATGTTGCATCCTGTCGGTCATCATGGGGCTGTCGTGGGTGCTGGAGGTGGTGTCGTGGGCGGCAGGCGCAGGCTCGGCCGCCGTGTCCGTGTGGTCCCTATTTGACCTCATCAACGCTTTGCAAGGAGTCGTTATATTTACCATTTATGTACTTCAACAGCCCGTCCGTTCTCATATTAAGGTGAGTAGTTGTAGGAACTTTATTTTTAGATTTACCATTACTACGTAAATATTTAATTATTTGCAGATGCTAAGCTTTGGTTAGTATCTATCAGTATTCTCGTTAGGTATTTCAATATTATATTTATTAGATTTATATGTGGTAGGTATCTTTTTTGGGTTTTCTTTGGGTAGATATATACCCTCTCAACTATTTCTTCCGCCAAATAGCAGTGCCTGCACTGCTGTGTTCCAGTCTGATCGGTATCGATAGCTAGTTTAATAACTGATTGTCCGTCCTCATAGGTGACAACGCAGCCCATGTTTGAAGTTGGCTGCAGGTGTTCATTGCAGTCAATTCCTATAATTTTTCAATAAACACATAAACATAAATACTCACGCCTGCCACCCAGAGGGGTAGGCAGAGACTATGGACTTCCATTTGGCACGATCCTGACACACCTCTCTATCTCTTTATCGCTTCCTCCACATCCATATACCTACGCATATACACTCGTCGGCTAAAGGTACTCTTAATCTGGCCCATTTTCAATATATCGCCAATTTAGTCGATAAACTTTCGCCTAGGGCGTCCCTTCCCGTTTTGCCGTTCATTTCTGCAACATAAATTTGCTTTGTCACTCTTTCCTCATTCATTCTTTCTACATGACCAATCCAACAAAGCATCCCTTTTTTAATCCTGGTCACAACATCATCTTGCAAACCACACTCTTCTCTTATGAAACAATTCTTCAATACTTATTAATATTTTTACAATACTTATACAATATGTTGATATATCATTACAATGCCTTTAGAACTATATTTTTATTTACATTTTAGTTTATCTTTAGTTATTTGCCACCCCATATCATCCTACGGCGTTACGTAAATGTTGGTTATGGAAAATACTATGAAGTTTTTATGGCAATGCAATTGCAAGATAGCGAGGTAGGTTAGATGTAGAACAGCCAGATTAGTTTCGGGGTGAAAGTAAAATGTTCAAGAAATTTAACACTGCCATGTTGCGAGTATGGCGTAAATAAAATCTTCTCAACAGTAGGGAAGGACTACGTATTGTAGGGTATTTTTAAGGGCTGGTGATGATTTAAAAATTATTACATATTATATTCATTACACTGCAGCCTATCAAAGTCCATTGCCGAACAGAACTCTCGCATAGATTTCCTCACATTTGTCATAGTGTTGCCACATTTGACACTTTACAGACAGGCTTACAATTGCAGTTATTTATTATATTGTTTAATTTCCTTCTGTCGCCTTTACGATACCCAACATAATACTAAAGGGTAACTTAATAATAAAGGGTAGTTGATTCTCTCATTTAGATGATTTATACACATGATATTAAAAAAAAAGTTAATATAATCTTTTTCAATTAGTTGTCAAAACTCTGCAAATCATGTAGAAGAAAAAGAAACGGCTCCGAAGTGGCGGTAGTGAGTGAACGGAACAGCATAGACTGTGGTCCCGGACGGAGAGACTACGTCTAATGTGTGTCGATATGTTGTATCGCAAGTGTCACTAGAGACTGATAGTGGTAACAGTATTACATACACAGTGCGCAGTTCCGCTGTTATGGATGTGTAAAATAAGCGTGAAACTCTAGCAAGTGTGTTTAAATTATGCTATAGCGTATTTATTTTTATATATTTTTAATTAGGTTTAAACTATAAGAAATTGAATCTGAGGTTGTTTCGTTTTATTTTGAAAAATAAATTATTCATTTAATATTTTTTGTGTGTAATTAAACTGTAAATAATTAATTAAATGAACTGTTGTATTATTTTCGTTAAATTATTTTATTATTGTTTAATCATTCAGAGGTATAAACCTATGAGTTTGGATATTTATATGATGGCTGGGATATGAATAAATATTTACTATTATTACTATTACTGTAATTATTACAAGATTGTCATCGCGGATTATGTAACAGGACCTTTAATCATAAAAAATTTTATAGCGAAATGTACGTAACATGTTGTTTTGAATTGAGCTAAATTAGGTTACACGACAATCTAATCTTTAGGTATTTGATTTTGATCGTATGTAAGTATAGTCGCTAACAGTAGCATTTCATGATATCAATTTTTAATCAGGTATGAAATTCCTTAGCAATGATTATTCCTGTGATAGCGCCTTATAAATATATCAGTTATTATTTACATTGCAGATATACTTTAATAACTAGTTCCTTGCAAATAATTTAACGTGTAATTAAGGATTTGTTTATTTTTATCAATGCTTAAAAACTTTGATGACAGAACTATAATTAATTAATTTGAAATATATATTATGGATTATTTCCCATTTTAAGGGCACTAATTCTATATTTAAAAATGTAATTTGAGAATGTTTGCTAGATTAATAAATTATTAAAAACAGTCAATACCTACTTGTTTTTAATAATTATTCAGAATAATCAGAATAAGCATTTTTAATAAAATATAAAGTAACAGCAATGAACAAAGTACTTAGTATATATTCCCAGAACATTTACTAGGTACTTTACCTCGTATAGCTATTTAATTTACTGAATAATATCTTCAGTAGATACTTGATATACTATCAAAAATGATAATTTTTTACATATTAAGTGGTATTGCATAGATTCATATATCAGAGTAAGATACGAGGAAAATACGTTTCTTTTCTGAAAAGTTATATTTGAAAATAAAACACAATAATGAACAAATAGGTAATATTTTAACTAATGACGTGTTACTAGGATGCGTAGTATAAGTTTCACGTATCATAAATTTGCGCGAGAAAAACAAACAAATTAATCAAAAAAATAAGTATGTCAAAAAGAAAAGCAATCCATTAGTTGACAAGTAGTTTACTCACGTCGATTAATTTCTTACTGTTTTTTTTTTATTTTGACTGACGGAGAAAATATTGCTAAAGAAGGATTTTGTTAACAAGCAACAATAAATATTAAAAATAAAAAGTATTTTGTCTTCAGTAATTGAATTTAAAAACACAACAACGATGCAGCGGAAAACATTTTTTTTTGTTAAAGTATTATAATTTACGATAAATGTTATATAATAAATTCTTAAGTGTACACCCAAGCAGCTTGTTATGTCTGTGGTTGTTAATATTTAGAGTAAGAAAGCATATTTTTATAACGTAATGTGACGACCAAGATGTAAACGGTTATATAGTAAACCTAAGCATATGGTTTATGAATAAACAAATTTATAATTTTATATACGACAATGTGTAGTGCCATATGTAAGTGATAGATAAGTACATATAGAAAGAAATATATGGTGTGCATTGTTTCCTTTGTGAATGCTAGTCATAATTATTTTACTAATGAATGTTACAAATATTTAGATCAGTTATTAATTTATTTTCATTAAATTATGTTATTTAAAAAGATTTTAAAGATAATTGTTTCATTTTAAAATACATAATAGGTATACCACATATACATATTAAAGTACATAAGTTAACTTAAGAAAAATTCTTTTATTTATTTTGATCTACATTTAAGTAATTGTTTATGCATCGCAAATTGTTTTACAAGACTGCTCGTAAATGAAATTGTACATAATTTTATGGTGTAATGAATATTCTCCTTTATTCACAAGGATGTACTCGTCGCTGCATTCTTTTATTAAAATACGGTTTAAAAACATCCGCAGATTTGGTAACTTTTTTATGGAATAGCGTTTTCAAAAATATTTGTTTGTTATTTATTGCAAGGTAATTTTTTATATTAATATGTTTCCCTGAATATTTCATTTAATGTTTCTTCAGTTGTCAACAATTGGTGAAGTAATTGTTATTATGTTGGACAAAATCAGGTATAAATGTTTGGCGGAAAATTTACATAAGACAATAATTAGATTCGTAAATTTTATCAAATTAAATAATTTTAGTTTAAACATTTTTCTTATTTTTCTCAGTTTTAAGTCGGGCTAAAATAAACTCTAACAATAAACTCATTTTAACGAGATGAGTTTTATGTACAATTATATTTGTTTATAAATAAATAAATTAAAACAGTGCGTGTGTACCTTCTCGTATGTAACATAATTATTGTTAAATGTTGATGCGGAATTATTAAGTGAAAAATAATAATGTATATTTGTCTATTTTGCAAACATGATGTTAAATAAAGAAGCTTTATATATATTCAATTTTTTATTGTTTTATTTACATAAGTCATTGTACTAAAGAAGTCCAGTTTTCAATTTGCTTATTGCAGTTTTAAGTAGGTACAAATTAACAATGTACATTACGATGGAGTAAAACTTTTTAATTTCTTAACAATATTTTTGTTCCTGTTGGCCGTATGAAGAAGCTCAAGGTCACTCAGCGAGCTATGGAGAGGGCTATGCTCGGGGTTTCTCTGCGTGATAAACTTAGAAATGAGGATATCCGCAATAGAATCAGAGTGACCGACTTAGCCTAACGGATTAGTAAGCTGAAGTGGTAGTGGGCCGGCCATATAGCTCGAAGAACCGACAACCGATGGGGAAGAAAGGTTCTCGAGTGGCAGCCTCGTACCGGTAGGCGAAGTGTAGGGCGAACCTCACGAGATGGAGTGACGACCTGGTAAGACATGCAGGAAGTCGATGGATGCAGGTGGCTCAGGACCGTGCTTTGTGGCATTCCTTTGGGGGAGGCCTATGTTCAGCAGTGAACTTATGAAAGGCTGTAATGATGATGATGATTTTTGTTCCTGCATATCTGAGAAATTAATAAAAATGGATTACATACGCCGCCGACTGTTACTTGCCTCATAACTGTCCGATTAAAAACAAACAATGGTAGGTATGTACTCGTAGAACAAATATTTATGTAAGTATAATGACAACTCGAATGTTAAGTATATTATGTAGTTACGATTATTATACACTTTTGGCATTCATGATAAGATAGATTACAAAGTAGTTATGGTATTGTAATTCTAAGTGTATACTAAGTCTATACTCTTTTTAGTTAGTTTTATTAAAAAAAATGTCATATAATTCTGCTAACCTACAATAAAGTATCAGAATGGATTGCTCTTATGCTCTTTCCTAAAGAATGGTTAAACAATAAGAACCTAAGTGCTTATATGAAAATCTCTATTGCACCCGATGAACGTTGATAAATTAGATCCCTACTTTAAGATACTCAATTTCTCCATAGCGTGTAGTATAATAGTAACGAACAATTAGAACTTTGTGTAATTTACTGTTAGGCAACTCGCATGTTTAAGAAATTAAAAAAATATATATAACTATGCTCCTACTTGAAAAACCTTTTTAGAAGGGAACGTAGACATTTGCCGCTGGATAGGTTAGTTTAGCAAAGCTTATTGTAATATGTAAAGTAGCACACAATTCCTTCGCAATACATAGTAGATTCATATTTAGTTTCTAGATACTTCCGATTGCAAATAAGATTTACAAAGTATGATATATACCTTTGTCATGTGACCTAATAAAAAAAAACATAATGGGGTCGTGCTGTTAAGAAGCTTTCTTCGATTCTTTTCAATGCAGGAATTAAGTGCAGCAGAAAACGTGACTAATCTCGCCTCTTTCTTTCAATTCTTAAACCGCACGGATTCACTTGCACAACTGCATTTTTATTATTGGGAAAATGACAATGTCCCATTATATTTAAAATTTATATAAAACGTGCGTTATATTAATGCGTTACCGTCAAATATATCAAAAGTACACTGCTTAATAGGCCTGCCCATAGAATGTCTCACAGGGGATATTTGCCACAGTTGCTACGCTTGGCAGGCGGGTTAGCAACCGCAGTTCTTTTATTTTTCAGATGGGATATTAGGAAGACGATGCTGCCCATCTCCTGGGTTGGTTGCCCCTGTGGCCTCTTACGACACCCACGGGACGATATGGGGTAGTGGATATTCTTACACCGCCACTAAACGGTGATAATATTATCACTCATAAAACTTTAATTAAGCGAATACCTGGGCGTCGCGCTATGCTTGAGTGAATGAGCAAGACAAACGAGAGAGATAACTCGAGGTCGGACTAATAACACTTATGAAAAATTGAATGTTATTTTGATTGATATTTTTAATGAACTAAAATATTTAATTAAGAAGGTTGTCTGCGTTTTCCTTTTATTTTATATGTTCGTCGGATGTCTAATAATGCTATAAATAGCAGTTTTACTTTGAATAATAATTAATTTGTGTTAAAACAAAATATAGAATCCTATGTTTCAAATTGTTAAAATTTGTCTGTTGGAAGAGCGGGGTACCCTGTAACACAGGTTTTACCAACCCAGTACAGGGGCCTTTGCCACTTGCCACCTTTTGAAACGCAATAAACGATTTTTGATTTTTTTTTTGATTTTTGATAGAATCATGGCAGTGGTAGATATGAATTGCATCGTAAAACGAAAACAGAAGAATACAATTGTACAGATAAAACATCGCTTAGATATCTTTTTAAGCCTCAAAACATATTACAATAGTCAATTTGTTGAAGGTTATTGGATATTATGGTCA